ACTTACACTGAAAACTGAAACGTGAATTACTGTTACTTAAAAGAGATCATTTGAATTTGCATTCCTTCATGGAAAACATCGTCAAAGGCAACGTGCTTTAAGAGTTGACTTTTGGGGATAAAACTTAACGGTCGGGAATGAAGACACTTCGTGCCGGCACACTCTTAATGTGAGAGATTCCCTATCTCATGGATGAACTGCGGTAAATCACGCATATCTGCATCATGAGATTGTTAAGTATGAACCCTTCTGACACTTTGGCATAGTTAATTTCTTGTAAAGTCTCAATGTTGCGACACCGACATAATGGTACAAGAATAACTTGTAATCTAAAATTTTCCACACCCTGCAGTGCTTTATGAATCATCAGTCACCCTAACTCATTCATAAAACTGTTCCTATTTGTGTTTCGTCTTCGAGTAAATTCATTCGTTATGTTCGATGCTTCTTCTAATATTGAATCTCTATCATTTTGTAATAAAGAATAAAGTAATAACAATATTAAAAAACACTAAAATTTAATCGAGACTCCGTTGTCACGGATGTTTCCCCCGAATCCGACCGACACCTCATTGGCGGCACAGAGCGGAGCATTTCGAGTTCACGCCTCGCGCCATCGCGCCTTCAATTTCGGAGATGCATCACGGACATCCATCGAGTACGAATAGTTGTATCTCTGCGCCGTCATCAACGCGCGTCTTTTCCCTAGCTGTATTTGAATGCTATATAGATAGGTTCAGTTTGTTTTATTTTTGTAGTGATGCTTCATGTGCGTGACCAACGTGAGCAACAAGTTTCTCATTTTTGAAATTTGAAAATAGTTAAGGATAAGTAAATTCAAAATATGGATTTTGTAGTGTTTTTTAGCGCTTTTAGTGTTTTAAGTATTTTTGTGTTTATATGTTTATATTAGTGTTTTTTTTATTAGTTTCGGCACTGAAGAAGCCCCATATGGATAGGCTAAACGTGCGTCTGCCATGAATTTTCCAAAAGGAAGCCGGCAGTGAGTAATTGCATTGTTATTATAATATTGGCGAATTCAACGTTTCTTTAAATTTTTTAGATGATCTAAAATTTGCATCTATGGTCAATATTGGACTTGACTCGGCCTTCGCACGAAAAGGACGTAGAGTAAGTACGTCAGAGTGGCGTCGGCGTCGGGTGGAGAGCTGGAGCTCGGAATTGGATGGAACGGCGAGCCGAAGCCGGATGAGCGGATGAAAAGTCAATCAAGAAGCCGTGGAATGAGCGAATGACGGGTGTGATGGCTTTATTGAATGAAAGAGTGCTGCCGACGCGACGCCGAGTGGACCCAGTCACAAGACTCCGGCTCCGGGCCATTGATAAATGTGCGGTGGCATTATGCAGCCGCAGACGTATAAACGCGCATGGCATGTGACGTCCGACGCGCAGCGGTTCCAGTCGATGCGAGAAGGCGGACAAAATTTGAAATCTTTAAAACACTGGAAAAAAAAAAAAAAACACATTGGATCTAGAGTACCTATATTAAGAGAGTATGGCCACTGGGTCCCATGGAGAGGCTTAGGACCCAAAAATGGCGGTGCTTTGTTTTGGTTTTTGAGGATGGGAGGGGGGTCATTGCCAACTTTTGACGGTTATCACCAACCGCTCTTGCTGCCAACCTTACTACATCTAAGATCATTTTTCTCAAAAATTGCACACGATTAGCCTTAAAAATATGTAAAAAAGTCGCAATAGTGCATTTGGGTAAAGTTCTCGTTACGATAAGCAAAGACAACTACATTTTGAATCATTTTGCATTACATTAACTTTATGGCGTCCGCCATTTTTGGGTCCTAAGGGCTCCATTCAGCCTAAGATGGCTGAGCCAATCAGAGGTGGTAACTCCAGTGGCCATACTCTCTCAATATAGGTACTCTAATTGGATCTAGAGTTCAGACTCTTAAAAACGTCGACAAGAAAAAGTACTCTTGATTCAATCAAATTTAAGCTTGGATCAAGAACCAAGCCTCTTAATTTAAGCGGATTTCGTTTTGATTCAAGCAAAACTCCGATTGAATCAAGAGTATTTTTTCTTGTCAATGTTTTCAAGAGTCTGGACTCTAGCTAGATCCAATGTGTGTTTTTTTCCAGTGAAGCGTAAAACTCCCTTAAATCAAAACTTTGAGAAATTAAAAACGGTTCCATTAGTTTCCCCGAGAAATTTTCTTCTAGAGTCACTCCTCAAAATTTAGTATATGATGAAATAAACATAAAAATTTGCAGTTTTAGTCAAAAATTTCGTGCTCGACCTCTCTAATTGACTCGATCCACTGTGCGACGAGCCATGCTCACACTTTGACGCCCGCTCCACGCGCCACGGCTCCCATCTATGACCCATACTGCCTTGCTGAGGAAGAACACCGTATAAACATTCGAGAGTTGCCAAATTTCCTTCGATAAAATGTTTATTTTTGAGGAAAGTTACGAATGCTTTTCCTTGAAATTTTCAGAAACTTTAGGTAAAATTGTAAATAATATTATCTGAAAAATTGGAAGAAAAATATTCATAGGTCTACCGAGAAATTCGTGTTTTAAAAATGGAAGTTTGGCAACATCTGAAGGTTCATACGGCGTTTTTCCTTAACACGGCAGTATGCTGCCGTTCTGAGTAAGAACGCCGTATGCGCCTTCAGACGTTGCCATATTGTTTTCCTTAAAGTAACGAATTCCTGGGAATATTTTGGATATTTTCTTCAAAAAAAGTGTAGCCATACTGAGTAAAAGGGCAGTAAATCTATATTTTGCCGCAAGTCTTTAGACTGCAAAGTATAATTGAGGGACTTGGAGGACAAAGCGCATATAAGTACAGTTTTTGAAAAAATTGAGATATTAATGCTTTCAAGTAAAACTAGTCTTAATGCATATTCTGTGAAAAATTCGCTCCCAAATTCCAATATTTAAGCATCTAAAAGTCGGTTTCAACTTTCTTTCCTTCATAAGGACCCATTTGATTTCGAAACTTAAAATACACATTCCTCGAAATAGTAAAAACTGCACTTCTGTGCCTTGTCCACGAAAATTCTGCTAGGACATTTTCACGGGGAGAGGAGCAGGAGGGCACCACATCGAAAAGCCTCTGAAGGACATTGAAGACACCCCTCCAAGGTTGATCCATGAAATCGTAGACGGTGAAAGATAGGTTTGCTTTACACTTCGCCATGCAGTCTTGGGTGATATTGACACCAATGGCAGGTAGAGTACCTATATTAAGAGAGTAGGGCCACTGGGCCGCATGGAGAGGCTTAGGACCCAAAAATGGCGGTGCTTTGTTTTGTTTTTTGAGGATGGGAGGGCGGTCATTGCCAACTTTTGACGGTTATCATCAACCGCACTTGCTGCCAACCTTACTACATCTAAGATAATTTTTCTCGAATTAAAATTGCACACGATTAGCCGTAAAAATATGTAAAGAAGTCGCAGTAGTGCATTTGGGTAAATTTCTCGTTACGATAAGCAAAGAAAACTACATTTTGAGTCATTTTGCATTACATTAACTTATGGCGTCCGCCATTTTAGGGTCCTACGGGCTCCATTCAGCCTAAGATGGCTGAGCGAATCAGAGGTAGTAACACCAGTGGCCATACTCTCTTAATATAGGTACTCTAATGGCAGGTGGCAGGTTATGGTGCGAATTCTCTTCGGCGCGCGATAGCCTCGGGAAAAAGACTTCGCGTCCCTGATATACATGTTGCGTCCGGAAAAGCTTTAGAACACGCGAACGAAACATTTTCCCGGCATTCGGTAAAGACCATTTTTCGCGGAATGTCCAGGAGAACCCTATTTGAGATATTATCTTTATAGTAACTTGATTATTTGGAACCGCCAAAAAGTTCACTAAGGAAAAACAGGTCAATTAAGCTTGGTCAGCCAGTTTGCGGCGTCAATTCTAGAACTGGCAGAACGAAAGCTCGAAATCGGGTGTTCCAATACACTTAATCGTCCTATAACTCAATAGATGCCTTTTCAGAAGTCCAGTCGTTTTCATTGAGGAACCTCGCGTTCATTACTAAATTCCATACATACATTCCATCAGCGGAAAATAATGCGATCAATCCACATGTCAAGTTTCTTAAAATAGTGATGTCAAAGCATCTCGGATCTAGCTATTTTTTTTATTATTATTGTTAATTTCGCCTATTTGAGGGAGGGGGGGCATTCCTCACATAATGTTGTTGTTCCCAGACGAAAGAATGTAACTTCATTCATAAGTTGTAAAATTGACTCAAACAATACAATTATTGCAAGCATACGACTGTGCGATTTCTGTCAAAGATTTTGCTGGTTTTTGCGAGCGATCATAAAAAAAATCTGTGAAATTTTCATTCAGAAACGTTCAAAATTTCCTTACTTAAAATACAATTGCGAGTGGAAATTTTGCACCGTTAAAATTCAGTATTGTTCTCTTGTCTAGGAATTGACAAATTGAGGAGGTAGTTTCGCTAGTAGAACGTTTCTCGCCAAAACAGAATTTCAAATACCGTTCATCGGGACTTTAGAGCTTGAACAGTTTCGGAATTTGGATGACATCTTCGACAAGGGTGGGAAATGTTAGAGCTAAAAATTTTGACCTCCAGTTGAAATTCACAGGTGGTTGAAAAGTCGGTCTTTTAACTAGAGTATGAAGCTTGCCCGGAGGTGATAGAGCCAGGTGTTAGCCAGAGGCGAATTTTCAAGTTGGCAACAGTGTTCCTTCTATATACATCTACTAAAAATATCGATTTCAGGTGAGGTAAGCTGCCTCACCAAGAATCGATAGTTTTACATAACACTTAAGCGGAGGAAAAACAGGGTTGCCAACTTGAAAGAACCGCCAGTGGCCTTGACCGTAAGTTGTTTATGTTATGTAATGATGCAAATACATTGAATACACAAACATCCGTATTCGTAAGTTATTCAGAGAAGCTCATGGTACCTAGATGATTGGTACAGCAAAAGAGAAAACGCGAAACAAAAACAGGAAGAGAAAAATTCCTTACCTAGTACTTCTTTAAAAATCGTATCAAAATTGACTTCATTCTTTTTCTCCAGATATTTGTGCATGACACTCCGAACGCTGAAAAAACAGAATAGAAGAAATTGTTATTAAATGTGAACAATTAACAATTGAAGGAAACATGTGGAAGTATCTTATGTGTGCAGAGCATTGGTCCCTTTGAGATTTTTACCTTTATCTAAACCACAGATTAAGTGACACAGAGCACAGTGTCACAGATCTTAGTTGTTCGTCAGTTTTATAATTCCGATTTTTTATTTGTTCCTTAGCTAATATACTGCTTTTGGATGCGAGTTTTCACAGGGGGGAAAATTCATAGCATTCAAAGGATGGACAAAAAACAAGATAGTGTTGGGAGGGGTTAAAAATAAGAGGACCAAATTCGTTGCATTTAACTTTGAGACTAGATGGTAGTTCTATAATGACCTAAATATGGATGCATCCACTAGAATCTTTTTTTGAGTAAGCTAAGCATGTTAAAATGTGTGTTCTTAATTTTGCGATCTGTTCGTCCCTAATGAAAGTGTAACAGTTTTTGGCAAGATGAAAGAGTTTTGAAACATTTCATACCGAAAAAGTATTGTAGTGAGGTGAAGAATCGAGTCATAAAAAGTCGACCCGTATTCCTGAATTACTCCGAAGAAAAGTTGTGGGGTTCAGGATTCATCGGAGAAATAGCATTATTCGGGTGAATCGGGGAGGTAAATGTATCTTCCCGCACTTAATAAAGAAGTCTCTTGGATCCCGAATCCAGACGCTTAAAAACTTCGACAAGAAAAACATGCTCACGATTCACGAGGATTTTTGCTTGAATCGAGAGTGCAACCTCTTAATTCAAGTGGACATTTTTAGTCAATAAAAAATCCGATTGAATCAAGAGTGTATTTTCTTATTGTCAAATATTTTTAAAGGCTAGACTCTAGATCCAAGAGACTCACTGGAAAAAAAACACATTGGATCTAGAGTCCAGACTCTTGAAAACATTGACAAGAAAAAATACTCTTGATTCAATTGGATTTTTGCTTGAATCGAAACGAAATCCGCTTAAATTAAGAGGCTTGGCTCTGATTCTGATTGAATCAAGAGTACTTTTTCTTATCGATGTTTTTAAGAGTCTGGACTCTAGATCCAATGTGTTTTTTTTAAAGTGCTATTTTCCAGGGTTTGGTGATACATTTGCAATATTTATAGGGAAAAACGAGGACGGGATGAGAAGGTGGTGAGAGTGGGGCGAAAAACGTCGAGAAAAAACACCCGAAACTGCAGCGGGGGAGCAGGGCACCCATCCCTCTTGTAGACTCGCTCTTAATCACACAAGCTGCAGCTGTGTACGTAAAAGAGAGATAACAGGGGAGATGTTTTTCAAACTATGTACCGCGATAACTTGCGCGGTGACGTCATCATAATGTCCGTGCGTGCAATGAATGCACTCGGAGATATGAGAGGTGACGTCTATTCGTACGTAGCTTCACGTCGTGTAATCTATTTGTCTTCGGTGATGTTTCCAGATGGACGTGTCGCGGTGTCACACGTCCTGTGATGTTACAAGACTTTTTCTCTCGTGGGACATCGTTGCCACAGTTGTAACAACAGCTTCTGTTTGAACACGGCACTTACAATCAGTTTCTGGGATCTCATTTAGGGGAAAAAAGGGGAAAGAAACTGCTTTGACATCTTCATTTTTCAAGGGGCCAACTGTATTCCATTGAAAATAGACGGCCGTAACTACAAAAAAAGCTAATGGCCGAGTTTTGATAGATTAGAAAAAAGGCTTATCTGAAATATTCTGATAATGTTGCCACGTGTGATGCATAGGAGTCTTGTCGCATGCGTATTATTTGATAGTGAAGCAGTAAATAAAAATGTCTCTTCGAACCCCGTTCAAACATGAGCTGAAAATCGGAAATCGGGCGCTGTTTGCCTAACGGTGGGCAGTGTTTGAAACTCACCTTTGAGTTTTCGGTGCCATGTGGCGCATCAAGCCCGATTTTTAGGCGCCATGGAAGATTTTTTAGGGGCCAAATTGACTTTTTGCCTATATATTACGGCGCATTTAGTGAAAAGTTAGACGCAAGATATTTTCGTAACAGAACTAGTAAGTAGCTGTAACTTGCGGAAGACAAAAGCACTGAGAAAAAAATAGTGAAAATTTAGAAAAAGCAAGCTTTCACTTGTAGTGCTGAGAATTCTGTGTTTTTTAAATTCAAATATTATTTGTTTTTCTTTTTTTATGTGACTTCCTGTGAAAATCCAGATTTTTAGGGGTCACGTTGGCGCAGAGCTCTCATTTTTTAGGCGCCATGGCCGATTTTTTAGGCGCATTTGGCGCGTTGGCGCCTGTGAGTTTCGAACACTGGTGGTGGGCATCACTTAACTTTCTATGGATCGAAAATGGGAAATCACTTGGTAAAATTGAAATAGTAGAAGAATAAGTAGATTAAGTATGAGTAGATTCTTGGAATTCTTCAAAACGTCGATTAAAGTCAAATTTCGCAAGGGCTGATTTTCGATTTTTTAAAAGTAAAGAGGTTACTGGGACAACGCAAGTAAACCAATAGCTTCCAATAAAAAATTTTGATTTTGATTGAAAGGCAGATCAAAATAATTTTTTCTTTCATCCTCCGTTTTTAAATGTTTTATATTCAAATCTTCTACGCGGAAACAATAATACTCGGCTGCAATTTTGGAACCGTTTCCGATTGCAATGGTCCAAGAGTTCGGGATTCTGGTTCCCGCGCAAAGGGGATCGAGTCAATGGGAGAGGTCGGACAAGATTTGGAGACTTTAAAAGCTTATAACTCAGTTCATACGGAACTTTGATGTTTTAAAAGTGGTTCCATTGGTTTCCTCTTGAAATTTTCTTTAGAAGGCACCCCTTCATATTCAAAATTTGACTCATTAAACATCAAAATTTGAAGTTTTAGTTAAAAATTTCATGTCAGCCCTGGTAAAGATTGGCAGTAGAATCTGTGTTCCAAAATACCATAGACCTACAGCCGGCTGTAAGATTTCCAATAGCTTCTATAGCCGGATACACAATTTCTTATAGCCTTTTATAGCCGATGGCGATTAAGCAACAGCCAGGCGATAAAGTGTATACTAAATGTTACCAATTACGGATGCTAGGACTTAGTGAGTTTTTGGACTACCGCTCTCTTTTTGGGCCGTAGTATCTTGATTTATTTTGCGAGGAAAGCTCCGTACTTTTGATGGATGCCTGCCATTCCTAATATGTTAGCGCGCCTTCAATTTCGTATGATACTGTGCAATACCTCTGGTGTGAAATAGTTGCTTTAAGCGCCGTGGCATGCTGCAGCACGGCGGGCGGGCGGCCAGCGCGAAACGCGCATTGGCGCCTACAAACCTAACAGGGATACTTCACGCGTTGCGCAATGCGTGAAGTATCCCCGTTAGGTTTGTAGGCGCCAGTGGCCAGTGTTAGGCTCTAACATCTAATCTGGCGGAGTCAGCGTTTTTCAACTCATGATTTTGAAATGTTTGCACGCTCTGTATGGATTATTCTCTTTTTAATTGATTAAAAAAAATATGTATTAAAGGAAAATATAATGTGTGTTCTGTAGATATTAAGGTGGTTCCGTATCAAACTTAATAATTTTCAAAGCACACGAATTTCTACACAATTTCTTATAGCCTTTCATAGCAGATGGCGATAAGGTGTATAATCCGGCGGTAGAAACTATAGCCCGCCTTCATAATTTTTTATCGCTTCGTATAGCCCGGCTCTATGATATTCTCCGCTTTCTACAGCCAGCTATATGATTTTCTATCGCCTCCTTTAGCCGGCTATAAGAATTCTTATAGTATTTTGAAACGCAGCTCCTATCGCCAATTTTTACCAGGGAGACTTCTCTGATTGGCTCGATCAACTGCAGGTGCAGATATATGTTTAGTTTTGGTTTCCACGCATTGATGTATAGTACCAATGGTACTAATTTGAAGTTTTTCTCATGCACGCCTCCTTTTAAACGTTCGAAGAAGTTTCGAGAGACGGTTTCAAGGGAAGGATGACTTGAAAGAGACGAGCAGCATAAAGCAGTATAACTAATTTTGGATTGGATTATTGGGTATCAACTTAACAAGTGATGGAAAAGGTGGAGGGCCTTAACGCAGAAAATACCAGACATACTGATGATACCTGTCTAGAGGATCATGCGCAGAAATGGACTGCAGCACACCTTACGCTGGGCCTTACGATCTCATGCCATTTCGTCCAATCAATAAAAGGTACCCACAGGAATTTTTACAGGGTATTCTGGAACATCCGTACCTACCGGACTTTTTTAATTGGTCATTTTGGGTCCGACGAAGTCGCGGACCGCAGGAACGAGTAGAAAATCGCCCCTAAGGGCTATAACCGTATAAATATAAACCGTATAAAAATAAACCGTATAAAAATAAACCGTATAATATATAACCGTATCCTAAGGGATACGAATTTCTCCCTTCCGGATCCCCCTCGATTCCCCTTTGGAGGGGGGGGGGGCAGCTATGTTTTAAAACCTAGATATCCGTAACAATTTTGAAATTATTTAATCAAAGTCGAGAAGTAAGGGACATGTTGACCCAGACCGATACTAAAAAACAAAAATCCCTGCGGCCCAAACAGGCCCATCCCTGTTAGAAACATTGACCCCGGAAGTTGAGGGATAGAGCCCCTGTCGATGAAATGTTGGGTCACAAAACTGGCACAAAGACCTGGAAAAAAGGTGTTTCATGAATGATCGACCCCAGGGAATCCGAGTTTGACGATCCCGAGGCTCCCAGAGCCTCCCTGATGAGATATTAGGGGGCCCTGAGCTTGAGAACTGGATAGATCCAGGGCTCGGCTATTATACCATCAATTGGATTATTCAGATCTCTTGCATTTAATTACCTAAAAAACACCTTCCATCTGGGTTCCTCGAGTCAATTTTGCGCCCTGTTGTAATCTGTCCTAGAATTTTGGACCTGCATTAAGGAACTGTCTAAGTAATTTTTTATTTGTTGTTACTCAAAAATTCCTAAGATCAACAAAATTCTTTGCTCCCACAATTCATTATGCCATCTTTGAACGATTACTTGATGGAAGGAAAGGCAGTTTATAGAATATTAATAGTTGTACGTAGTAGGCCAAAGTTGGCACCTACATATTCACGACCGCCTAAGCACTTATGAAAACACTGGAACCATGACTAACTTATGATCGGCACTAAAATCTATTGGAGACCTTTCAGCCAGAATTTAATTGGGTGGTGAAAATTCGTAGTGAAAATGCATTATCAGTTAGAAACAGCCCTATTTGAAGGTGCTAAAAAACATCAGGTTCTCATAAATAATCATGTCTCAAAAAACATTTTGGCCCCTAAAAAGACCCTAATGACCCCTAGATATTAATCAAGCAGGCCAAAGTAGCCCCTTAAGTGCTACATAAGTTTCGAAAATTGGCAATGCCTATCAGTGATTCATTATCAAATTTTCCATTAACCTGGCTATGTGTCTCTTGTATCTCTTGATTCATAATTGCTTACGGTGCTATTTTCCTTTCGCTTCAGAACCAGACAGAAATGAGCATTTCTGCAATCATGTATTATATAACAGTCTCAAACCCACACTTTCTTTGATCAATATCTGAAAAATGGGATCCTACGAAGAGGAGGGCAAACGTTGCAAATCCTAAAAATGTTGAACAAGAACACAGAAAAAACGTAAGAATATTATTCCTATGTAGAGGAATTTGCAGTGCTTAAGTTCCCTGAAAAGACATTAAAACCCAAAGGCAAAAATTTCTAAAATATTGATGAAAGAAAAAGGTAAGGACTTTTATTTTTTATTCACTTTCTCCGAGGTTAAATTTTTAAGGGTCAAACCCACACTAGATGGAACATGACGCATGATTTTGATGAAATTTGAAAAAAAGACAGGGAGGAGATGTCTTAGGTTGTAAGTAGGTAAAAATTTCAACCAGTACATTCATGAAAAGTGGAAAAGTTGAGAAATTTTCAATGAGTTGAAACTCTTTGTCAAGGGTGTCGTATATCTGCATTTCTATCACAAATGCCTAAAACCCAGACATACGTCAGCGAAATTGAAGCTACCTAAGAGTTGCCTTTAAAATTAGTGAATGACTTATGGAGAGACTTTTCTATAGTTACTAACTTTTTGATAAATAAGACTACAAAAGTTACTTAAATTAAAAGTGTCAACAGTTGCAAATGAAAGAAAAAAGTAAAAGGATGGAAAAGAAACTATAACATATATTGAAAATATTCACAACCTTGACATACGACTGATCAGTCCTGTGACCTGGTACTTTCAGAGGTCTTGCTCGCTGGCAGAATTCAGACGGCTGAGTTTTGCCAGTTCAAATTTATATCATAAGTTAATAGCGACTTCCAAAAACAAAGACACTGGTGACTCAAGCATAAATGACACTGAATCACAGTACGCAGTGGCTGAATGCACTTAAAGCCAAGTAAAACACAATACATGTCAGCTGCATGAGACCGTGAAAAATCCCCGTTTAAGTGCAAGTCACTCAGCTGTTTAGAAAGAAATAAGTCAAACCAGGTATAGTTAAGGTAATGATACTCATAAGCAGAATTTGATTGTTAAAATTAAAAGTGGATTCAACAAAGAGATTTTTGGGAGAAAATGAGAGTTTGACAGCTTTACCGTGCTAAACCCAGCGAACTAATTTGGGACGTCTCGTCCGATATCACTTACTGCTAATCCCTTTCCAATGGCCTTGAATGGGAAAATAATACAGTCTCATATAATTTTAGAACTTGTATTCAATCTTTCGGGTGATATAAACTAGTAGAATGTCATGAAAAAATAATATTATCCAGTGATAGTGATAAGTGAGGTTAGAGAGTAAAAATGTAGGTTAATCAGAACCAAGTGTTTACCTGGGATCTGGGAGCGTTATTTTCTTGCTTGCCCTTGCAGCAGGAGTGCCTTTACTTTTTTCCATAGCCATAAGATAGCTGACATCAGCTAAAACAGCTTCTAAATCAGCCATTTTATCTGATTTTACGAAAACAATTCCACTTCACAATGTTAGGCCCAAGGGCCTAATTCACGTAACTTAAATCACAAAAATACCAAGCTGAACATGATTGTTTTCCTTTTAAATGGATAAATCATCCAAACTAAACCATGCATAATGCAACTATCGCGATGATAAAACACAAATTCACATGATAAGTAAACACTACGAATTGGTCATTGAGACGCACTTATCAGGAGCACAAAAATCTAAACAGAGAGAACACACACACACACACATGCATATATACGCGAAATACAATCGCCAAGTTGAGAGAGAGGACCGAGCATGTAAATACGGAGAGGGAATGAGAGAATGAAAAATTGTGTGACCGAGTGATTGAGGTACTCTGTGAAATGATTTCGAGCTTTATTATAGCTTCCCTAAAAAATTAGAGACCCGACCGTACACTCCTCGCGTAGAGAGCAAACTGACTGAGACGAAAGTTGCTTTTCAGATTGGAAAACGGACTTTTACACGGATCGATTGTTGACGATGGTATATACATATATATCCGTACATAAACTTTCCCATCCATTTTCCAAGGGAGGAAAGAGCTCACAGCTGATTCGCTCTGAGAAAGGAGAGAAGGGAAGACATAAACAACTCCTCATTGAGAATTAGGGTTAGCTTTGCTCTGGTTTTGCTAAAGTTTTAAAGTGTTCGCTTTTTAAAGTGTTTGCTTGATTTTTCAAATGTTACTTTGTGTTCGCTCAATTAAGTGTTTCTAAGCTCTTCATTGATAACCTGAAATTATTTTGACGTGGTAGACCTTCAGAAATGAGCTGTGAACAAGTTCCAGTTTGATATGCTGATTTCACATGACTTCTGACGAAAGTTCCATGAAAACTCTTAATTTCGAAGGATTAAGCTTGCTCGTTTATAATGTAGTCAGTTCTGCCTGTGACAACGTAAGTATCCTTTTCACTTAAATCAAATTCTACTCAAAGTGTGTGGCAAAGATCACTATTGGAAATCGACGGTGTAAGGTGGCAATCACATTACTCGTTTGTGGTGTCTGCAAATCTCTGCCTCTATGTTATTTTTTTAAAAGGAGAACAAATTGACATCATTCCTTGAAATTTTTGAAGAATTTTCTTTTCACAGAGAAGAAAAATCACGGCAGTTTTGAAGAATTTCTGTAGAGAAGCTATCCGTTTAAAAAATAAGGTATGACAGGAAGTCTGCGACGTCGTAAACCGAATTATGTGATTGCCGTCTTACACCGTCAAAATGCTGCCTGTAATAACTCGTCAAATATGAATGTCAAAAGAGGGTTTCAACAACTGCTTGTTGTGGCATTTGCTCTGCCAGAAGACAGAGGAAAAAAAAGAAAAAAAACCCAAAGCATCAGAAACAGACTGAACTTCAATACCTTTAAAGTCCATGCCAAATAAGTTTACAAAATTGTAGACTGTGACAGAAGATCTGCCTTATTGATTCTTTCATTTACTTCACTTGTAAAAGTGACATCAGACAATCAACTGTCGCAGTTTATAAGTGCATAAACTAATTTGGCGTTGACTCTATGAAAAAACTTAATGAATTTAGATCGAAGGATTTCATTAATACTTTGATAATTCACATGTTTGCAGAGAGTTGCCGTTTATCCCATAATGACAATCAGGACGCTGGTTTACTTCTTACCAAATCATTACAGATTTGCAGGCTGGCATAACTCCACCCCAATGTATTCTGTAAAAGATCCGCCTCCATATTCTGCACTGTCAGTAGCTGTTAAATGAACAAGTATGTGGACGGCAGAAAACCCAAATCCGAATAAATTCTGAGGGACAGTCAAGGAAGATGAAGTGAAGCACTATGAAGCTCAGAACAGGATTGATAAGAAGATCTATCTTGCGCGTAGATTACGGGTACTTCTTAGGAAGTTGCTTCAATGTAACCATCATTGAAACAACGTAAGTACTCATTGGCTACTCAATGAGGCCTTTTCTCCATGGAACATTTTCATGGGATTTGTCGCAGGATCGAATGGAGGGATTTATCTCTGTTTCTGTCTCTCCAGGAGGAAGCTTTCACGTCCCTGCGACAAGTGTCCATAGGAAAATGACTTTGTAATAATTGAGTAGGTATTTAAACAGGGTTAAAGTGGGTAATAATTGAGTAGGTATTTAAACAGGGTTAAAGTGGGTAATAATTGAACATGATCAACAAATAAAAAATTATTTTAATTTAACAAATGGGAATAATTGAGTGGAAACAGAGGATCACATTATTTGCTTTCGCTTCCTCTTCCATCACTTGATCTTGGATCTCTTCAAGTAAAGTCAAGGACCCTACTTGGTACTACGATTCAATATTTGTCTCAACTTTGTAAGTGAGACTTTTCTCTGCGACAAATCTCATTAAAGACATTGGCCTAAGTAATCATGAACAAAATTTTCAGGCATGGATGAAAGAAAATATGTTTGATGGTTTTTTAGTATTATTTGGGCCGAATAAAAATAATGGGTGATAACTTTCTCCAATTTGGCTTTCAAGTAAAATGAAATGAGTAAAATAATGAAAATGATTGAATAACTAATACTCAAAAATAAAGGTACTCAAAAGAATTCCTCCATTGGCTCCGCTCGTTTTGGAATGGTGATAAACATGGAAAGAACTACTTTTCTCAGAAACTGGTAGCACTATTGGAACTGCATGAACTCTGAGCTGTAGCACATATCGATGGTGTAAGTCCGCAACCACGAATTTCGTTTGTGGTGTTTGAAAATCTCAGCTCTTATTTTATTTTTTTCAAAGAGAACAAATCAACGTTGTCCCTTGAAGTTTTTGCAGAATATTTTTTGTACAGAGAAGAAAAATCACAGCAGTTTTTAAGAATAGCCATTGAGTACTTTTTCATTTAAAAAATAAAGTGTGAATAGGAAGTCTACAACATTGCAAACCAATATACATGTTTGCAGACTTACACCATTGATATGTACTTTAACTTGGCTTTTGCAACCTCACGTACCTATACCACATAAGAATGATTTTGGTTGGCCAGGTCACAAACATGTGGGGATCCTGTGGCTGAAATAAAACTTTAAATGCAGTTTACCTTAATACAAGAGATCTTCTATAAATGCTCTCCTCTCAGTACAATCCTTGATTTAAGTATTGCTGTAAGGATTGTAACATCCTTTACCTAAATGCTGAGTGATCATACTCATCAATCAATCATATCAGTACTTACCCCAGAACCGAAAGGTACCTAACTCAAATTTTTTGAAAAATCAAATTATTTGCATTTTTGAAATCTCCATTAACAGTTCTGTGTGTGTGGAAAATTTGGTAGCCATATCTTACGCCAGTTATGAGATAAGGAGTTTTAAAAATTACGATTTACATTGAAATCAATTAGGCTGATGCGCGGTTTTCCCTTATATCTTGTAAAGACTGAAATGGAATTAGGTACCCTCTCGTTCTGGGGCACTGATATGTACTTACTCTCTGCTCACATCAGATCCCTGAAGCTTTCATTTTTATGCGCTTAACAAATGTAAGAGCCAACATCCTTACAATTTCGTGCACCCTAAACAAATTAGACAAATTTAATTTTTTCAGATCATCTAACAAGGGCTGAACTCTCATCACCAGCTTTCATCTAATCAAGGCAGTTAGATCCCTTAGCCTTTCGCAATTGAAATATAAATGAATAGAAAACTAATTCAAGAACAAAAGATGAAGCAGTTTTTTCATCTTTTGCTCTCTCTCTCCAAACCTCCAAGTCCCAGGTGAGTTTTTATTATTTCTCTAGGGATGTTCTGACAATACAAGTGATTCTTAGTTTTAAGGAGCAATCTGCTTGATGGTCCAAAAGGGTATCTTTTTATGTAAACAAATAGGTAGGGACCCTTTGTAATCACTTTTTATAGAGTTCATCAGGTCAATTTTCTTGATTTTTGTGCTTAATTAAATCTTGCGGTGTCTTCTTCTTGTAAAAAAATACCCAGCATTGTAATTTTTGAGCTGGAACGATGCTATAGCCCTTGAGCCCTGAAAAAAAATTTTAGGATGGAAAAGGAGACACAGGTCAGAGTTTTATTTACTGGTCACTTACGTCTTTGGAAGGATGTCTGTAGCATGGAAAAAGTATATGTACTTAGTTACTCTACTAAAGCATGAACTTGGGAAGGTTGGTACAGAAGGTAGAAAATCATACAGAAGTGAAGAACCAGGATTGAAGAATTCTTTTGCATAACCATGTATAATGGAAATGATAGTTGAGAAAAACACCAATAAAATATCTAAACATAAAATTATCGTGCAGTTTAGACAAAAATTGATGAATTCTTAAAATTTAAGAACTTTTGAACAGTATTGGAGGGCCTGCTTTCCTTGATCGATCGGCTCAAAGAAAAGCATTTTAACGCTTCTTGGCTTTGTATGGTGAAAAAAGCTGCAAGTTAAATCATGCATTGTTTTTACAGAGAACTATCTTTGCAACGTAAAAAAAAAACAGCTTTGATCAATGTTTTCAGCACAAAATCGACTAGGAATACATAGAATAACTAGTGCACTGTATTAGAAACACAAAGTTCTCACGAAAAAATCAGGGATCAACACAAAAATTGTCAAAAAGTATACATAAAAGTGAATCAAAATTTTGCCATCGTTGATGTAATTAATAGAAAGCATTAAAAGTTAACTACAAGTGATAAACCACTTGTTAATATCTTTCATAGTTCTTGAGAGTGATGTCAATGGACAGTTGTTTTGAGACATTCTTTATGTCTTTTTAAAAGCTGTATATAATTCCATCGCATTTTTAATGTCAAGTCTGATAATTGTTTTCAAAACCAGAGTAGCTCTTTTGTGAGAAAGCGAACACTGTTAAAGTATCCATCAGGGATGCAGACATTTCTTTGGAGCAAAAATCAGTTGCAGTCCCCAAAAATGTCAAAAATGCGCTTCGAGTAAGCAATTTTGAAAAAACCAGCACCATTTCCATGTAATCCGAAATTCGCGAATGTGTGAAGATTCCATTTTCCTTCTTCTAAAGGCAAAAATTGGGATTAACAGAAACTAGCGTCAACATTTACACTCTGGATCACAATATTTACTTTTCTTTCCTTGCTCAATGAGGAAATGCTCCAAAAATGGGGTTTTGCGGCTTCGATCGCAACATATTTTTTTTCGTCCCCATCGCCGAAGTGAGTATACATAATATCCTCAATATTCAAATTAAACCCCTCGCCATATCTCCAACTTCCAAGTTCATTTCGATCTACTGCGCCTAACTCAATGCTCCTGCCTGCCGCAGTGCCGCGCCGCGCCCCCTTGAATTGATATGATTTCTTCTTGTGTGTATGGCTTGTAGTCTATACGTAGTTTTGAAGGCACTTTACGTGCGAGCGAGCTCCGCCTCCGCGGCTTCTTGCTTCCGAGCTCCTTAATTATAATTGCGCTAGAGTTCGTACGTAATTGGACGTATTTATGCTAAAAGGAACTATACTGCACGCAAACCCTATGCACATAGTTCCTTTTAGCATAAATACGTTCAATTGAAAGCCGGATAGTACAGTGAACGGTAATTCCTCTCAAAAGCTGCTTAATTTTTCTCAAGATTTGACTAAAAATAGATTTCTCTTCGTGGAATATTTGGAGTACTCGCCAGCTGGTTACATCTAGAGAAGATCAACAGGGTGTCTAGCATCAGGAAAAACCGGCAAAACCGGGAAATATCAGAAATTTTGGCCGATCAAGAAAAAATCAGGAAAATCGGAAAAATCGGACATTTTATCTGGAATTTTTCTTCCGCGAATTTCCTCAGCGGAGAAGTCTCACTGCTTTTTGCCTACCGTGCCGGGAGTAGTCGCTCCGTCTTTGTTTCCGGAGAAAAATCAGGAAAATATCAGGAATTTCCAAAATGAAAAAATCAGGAATGTTTTATGAAATATGAGGAAAAATCAGGAAGATATCAGGATTTTTCAAAATTAAAAATTACTAGACATCCTGATTCAATTATTTTGAAACAAATTCGGTTTTTTCTTTTCAACTTTTTGTAATCCTAACTGAAATCTTCGAAAAGATCTCAAAACACAAGTGCAAAAAATTATGCTCAATCTATATTTCGAGCGAATTTTTGTATTATTGCTAATAATACCGAGATTCATATATTAATCCTCCTAACTTCAACGTTTTCTTTTAGTTTTAGTTTTTCGGAGGTACTTCAACTTACAATTTGAGAAAATTTCTCCTAACACAGACTTACAATCAGATTACATTTTGCAATAAGAACCACTATCTCCGGCTCTCCCGTAAAAGCACGTATCTGCAAAGGGAAGCCAATAACAATGCAGGGAAACCAATGAATATGTTGTCTCTAAAATGGGCCAGAAATAGTGGTTACTTATTGCATAGTGTACTCCAATCGGTGAATGACTGACGGTGCAGTAGGATGTAAAAATCGAAGTTGAATAGAGAGGGTTTTTGTTTATTGACGGTGAAATTCCCAAACCACGTATCTCGTTTGCTTCGTCTAAAAATCTCCGCTCCTGTTATAATATTTTAAAGGATAACAAATCAGCATCATTCCTTGAAGTTATCTCAGGATTTGCCCTGAACAAAGAGGAAAACCCCCGAAAGTTTTCAAGTATTGACTTTGAATAGTTCTCCATTTACAAAATGAATACTTAGTATGACAGGAAGCCTGCAACGTCTTAAACCGAGATTCGTGGTTTGGTAGTTTTACCGTCGTCATGTTAATCCAGCAATGAATAAGATTCCTCAGTTAGTGATCATCAGGAAGAATTCGTTAAATTATCTTTATTTCCTCTCCGGGTCGTGTTTGACTTTTCCAACAACAAATTGTGTATGTCCGGGCTTAAAATTGGCAATTTTTAACCATTCCGTATATCGTCAATGGACCACTAGACAAGGTACGAATTTCAGCATTCTGATAAATGTTTCTCAACTAAAATTTCACGTAAAATACGACGTGCACAACGAAAATTACCGAAATCAACTCCTTCCAAAGATATTTGATGATTCTTGATACGTGAATTCAAGCCACCCGCTTATGAAAACTCAATGCTCTGCGTGATTCACATCGTGCGTTAAACGTTATCATGACGGTCTCTGCGGTATAAAAATCTGACAACCTCAATCTTGACGCGTTGGCTCAGCTGTAGCAAATTGCTTATAGTTTGAATAACACATGGTGGGAAATGAACATTAATCGATTGAAAAGCTTGTTGAAACCGTTGTAGTGCGCGATTTGACTCACGTAAAGCTTTGAGTTTCTTGTCAGCGGGCAGTTCAAATTCCTCGTAACCAGTGTGAAATAAAAACGTTAATATCTTCGTTTGGAGTTTGTTTCATTAGTTTTCGCGAATCGTGCTCTACGTGAAATTCAGGTTAAGAAACATGTATCAGAATGCTTCAATTCGTACCTTGTCTAGTGATCCATTGTTAGGGGATTCGACCAAAATTTGTCAGGTAAATTGGGGTAGGTGATGCCAGGAAATTTTATTTTCTAAACCCTGAATGAAGTGTAGAAAAAAGCTCTCTCCTTTATGTCCTGCTACAACGCGAAATCAGATGGTTGGTTAGTTGAGAAAATACTTTTTTGCGGAATCCACGCAAGTGTTCGTCGGAAGCTTTCATCCGAATTGGGAAATTCGCAGGAGCAGGGGTCAACGATTGAAGAATTGACCCGAGCCAAAGCTCATCAAGTCGAGTCCATTATCGTAGTTTGGGAGCCACGCCGCACAGTGAATCGAGTCAATTAGTGAGGTCGGACATGAAATGTTTTACCAGAACTGCAAATTTCGATGTTTATTTCGTGGTATTTTAAATTTTAAGGGGTGTTTCTGGACGAAAATTTCACGAGGAAACCAATAGAGCCACTTTCAGAACCTCAAAGTTTTGTATCAGCGGAGTTATAAGCGTTTAACGTTTCCAAATTTTGTCCGACCTCTCCTATTGACTCGATCCACCGTGCGCCGTACCGTGCCGCTCCTCGTCAATCAAAGCGAATAAGTAGGAATCATATCCAAACCACAGGACTGCCGTGCTAAGGAAGAACGCCGTATGAGCTCTTAGACGTAGCCAAGTTTCCTTCGATAAAAACCGAATTTACTGGTAAAAATGTAAATATTTTTTTCCAAAATGTTCAGGCAATTTTGTACGCAAGTTAATCTAAAATGTCTGAAAATTCCAAAGAAAAATGTGCATGAACGTCATCAAAAATACATGTTCTATCAAGGGAAATTTGGCAACTCTCGAATGTTGATACGGCGTTCTTCCTTAGCACGGCAGAAGGACAGCAACCGGCCAGTCTCATCGCCCAGCCCAATCCAATGAGTGACCTGACCACTGGCCATCAGGGCCAATGTCAATCTTATCACTCCTGTCTCGGCCAATCAAATTAAGCAGTGGCGAATCCAAATTAATCTAATTTATAAGCTCCAGTCACCATTCGTCAATCGCTTGATAATAACCGTCCAAAAGCTCCTGGGTCCCCAGTTGCCGTTTTCGTGGAAAAAAAAAAAAAAAAAAAACGCTCCGATCGATTTTGAAATTAAGGTAATGGGGATGACATCTCCCTTGAGTTTGCTGTTTAGGTTGGTAACGAAACGATGCGATGTTTCTCTTCGTTTTGAACGTCTAAAGTAGTTGCAGCGGCGCGAATTTGCTTGTATAAACAGCCGAGAAGTTGCAGATGCCGAAGTGTGTCTGCTTTCACAACTTTCAACTTGAATGGGTTGAATACACCTCTGCTGCGCCAAAA